CGGCTGTGGCGGCGGCGAGGCCCGGCTTCCCCCCTCCCTCCCTCCCTCCCTGCCCGCCCGTCCGCCCAGCCTCCCCGGTTTCCCCGCCAGCCGGCTCCGGGGAGGCGGCGGCAGCGGCGAGGCCCGGCTTCCTCCCCCCCGTCGCCTGCCAGCCCGCCGGCTGGCTCCGAGGCGGCGGCGGCGTTGCAGAGCGTCTCCTGCGCATGCGCAGGAGACGCTCTTGCACTTTCGGGGGGATTTAAACATCCCCCCGAAATTTTTAAAAACTTTTTGCATTTTTGTGCACACGTGGGGACTGGCCCACGTGTGCACAAACCTCCCCCGGCCCCCCAGCTGCCCCCTCCGTGCTGATTTAAGTATCCGCACGGAGGGGGCAAGTTGGCTATTAGATATATAGATATTGGCCCTCTTTTTCACATTAGGTTCTGAATTTTAGTGTTAAGGTTAAGGTTCAGTTTTTTGCCCTTTTCGTCCCGGGTTGTCGATGAAGTCACCAACTAACCAATTTCTGATCCATTCCCTACCCGAAGGAGAGTTGCACATCGCCATCTCACCTGACGACATTACCCTCAAAGAAGCTGAGCCTATCACCCTGCTGCAGATTGAGGTACATCCTGGGCAAATCGGGGGATCCAGGGTCTGCGGGCGGGGGGGGGGAGAGCTCCCACAGAGTTTTCTGCAAACCCAGAGGAACCCCAGATTGTTAGGAAAGCCTTAAACAAAAACGTAAGGTGAAGGTGATGCACATTGGGACCAAAAAAAAATCTCCGCTTCAATTATGTCAGCTAGCTGCCATATCTGTGTTGCCTACCCTTCCCTCTTTCCACTTTGCTTGCAGCTTGCCGTAAACATGCTAGGGAGCCGTGGGAACTAGACGCCGTTATCGGTCTGGCCTTGTGCATTAGGGAGGGCTTGGGATCCACCCTTGGTGTGAATTTTTCTGCTCTCAGGAAACCATGGGACTCTCCCGCTCATTATGTAATCTCCCGCCGGGAGTTTCCCCCCGCGCGCGCTCGAAGTTCATTTGCTTAGCTAATGGCCTTGCCCAGCTATATGTATTGAGATGTTTCCGCCTTCTAGTTATTCCTAACAATAATCCTGTGGACATGGTACCAGTCTTGTACACTAATAAACATAACGCTTCAGGAGAAACGTGTGTGAAGGTAGAGTCTCCTAAAGGTAGAGCATAATCTTTCAAAGTAACTTGTTCGCCCGTTATTTGGAAAGACTTTACCTTGCAAGAGTACGTTCTACCTTTAGGAGACTGATGAATGATAATGGATTTAACCATGGAACGAGAAGAGACAACTGTTGTTGAAATTTTGATGTCTGGAAGAAGTTCTTCTAACGAAACGGAAGTTTAACTCCGGGGAATTTCGTCCATCTGAAATTGCAGTGATGAAAAAGGGCAAACTCTTAAGTTACGCATTGTTAGGAAAGGGACTGAGAATAAAACGGCTGATATTGTCATGCCCCTGGATAGATCGATGGCACAGCATTCGAAAAGCATAAGCTTTTTACATAAAGCGGTTTGTATCTGGTTGGTACGTGCCGATTGCGCGGCGATGACACTTGACTGACTTTGAGGAATTTCACATTACCCTTTTCAACCCGTTTTGAAGCTGTTTTTGAGCCGTCATGGAGTAAACTGGTATAGGTCTGCCATTTCACACATGGCTTTCCCCTTCCGCTAAAGAGCTGGATCTGAAGCAGTTTGCCATTTCAGACTGCACCACTTTTTCCCGCTTTTCCCCTGACATTTTTCACCCGCGTGGACGATCTCCACTTTTTAAAAAAATGTTCACTTTATAGCGCTATAGCACTACGACAAAACACTCCAGCCATTCCAATGGCGTTGATATACTGCTGTTCCGTTATAGCGCTAGAACGCTATAAAGTGAACGTAAAAAAAAAAAGCCAGAGCTCGCCCATGCGGGCGAAAAATGGTGGGAAAAAGCGCATCAGAACCAGGAGAGGGAACTGAAGACTACTTGGAAGCGGTTGACAGGTAAAATGCTTCAGCCCCGTTTCCTAAACAGGACAGAAGCATTTGTGTCTGAAATTACAAATATATTCCGGTAGGGAACCAGTTCTAAAACGGTTCTGTCTGAAATGACAGACCAGAAACCGTTTGGGAACCGTTCCTCTTCCGGATTATATCGTCTGTCTGAAATTCCTCTTTGGTTTGTGTGCCGTTTGGAGGGCGAGCAGGATCTGCCCGAGATCACAGTCCGGGAGATCGATATGCTGGTCGAACAGGAGAGGTTCGTGGTGCACGGCGACGAGAGACCCCCGCCGCGGCCCACCGTCTCTCCCAGGAAAAGGCGCGCTGAAGAAGGTGAGAGGAGGGGCCACCCTGCTACCCTGGCTTTCTGTTTTCCTGACACCATTCCATCAGTTATCACGGGGGCCCGAAACCCTTTTGGAGCCTGCCGGGGCCTTTGGAATTCTGACACACTGTGGCGGGTGCGGCCACAAAATGGCTACTGTGCGACAGAGAAGGGGAGCCAGACGCAAAATGGCTGCTGCAGCTTGACTCCAGTCACACAGGGAAGATCTTAAGAGCCAGTCTGGTGTGGTGGTGAAGTGCGCGGACTCTAATCCGGGAGAACCGGGTTTGATTCCCCACTCCTCCACTCGCAGCTGCTAGATGACCATGGGCCAGCCATCGTTCTGTCAGAGCTGTCCTTGAGAAAGAGCCGTTTCTGTCAGAGCTCTCTCAGCCCTGCCTACCTCACAGGGTGTCCGTTGTGGGGAGGGGAAGGGAAAGGCGTTCGTAAGCCGCTCTGAGACTCCGAGTGAAGGGCGGAGTAAAAATCCAATCTCTTCTTCTTTTTCTTAATGCTGTGGTGGCAGCTACACGGTCCCACCTGGCCTCCCTCCCTTTCTAAAAATACCTGGCGGGTGCCAGAGAAAAGTGTCTGTGTGCACGATGGTGCCCACAGGCGCCGTGTTGAGGACCCCTGGGTTATCATCTGGAGACCCCTGAAATGTCTTGGCTTTGACTTTAACGAGGGTCTCCTCTCCTGACGTGAGGCCTTTCTGGTGCCCTTCGGGCATCGGGGCGGGAGCAGGGAGACCTTCCCTACTTATGGGAACTCCCTCTTATTGCCGCCTAAGCCAAGAACGAGAGACGAGGAGGAGTGCTCATTGTGGGTTTGCTAAGAAGTGCTTCCAGATATCATTGCCCTCGGCTACAGCCCTGATACCCTCCCCCGGGATGCCAGCCTCCAGGTGGGACCTGGGGGATCCCCTGGAACGACAACTCGTGCCCAGACTACAGAGATCTGTGCCCCCGGAGAAAATGGCTGCTTTGGAGGGCGGACTCCGTGGCTTCGTGCCCCACTGAGGTCCCCTGAGCACTCCAGGCTCTGCCCCCAAACCTCCAGGGGTTTCCCAAACTGTATCTGGCAACCCTACCTCCCATCCCCTACCAGTGGCCAGGAGGGACCAGGCGACCCTATGCGCCCCCCCCCCCCAGCAATCTCTGCTAGCAGCTCTCTGCCGCCCGCCAGCTCCTGTTCTTTCACTTTCAGAGTCCATGGAAAAGGTCAGGAAGCGAGAGCCGTCAGTGTTTTTGGGACTGTCGCCTCCCGCTAGGTAAGAGGATGGGGAAGGCGGTTTGGAGACCTTCCCCCCCACACCCACACACCGAAGCTCCTGGTCCAGGTTTGGAGAGAGATGGATTAATTTAGGCTAGGAAATCGATCGCAGCTTTGGAGAGAGAGAACCTGCCCAACCCACGTTCCCGGTAGGTCAGCTCTGCTCATTTTTGCCTCTGCTCAAATAGGTTTGGCAGGGTTTTTTTTTGTATTTCTTGGAAACCTACTAAACCTATTTGAGTAGTGGCTTCGGGGGGACTGTGTTCACGTGCCCCGTGTGTGCGAGCCTCTTTCACACCACAGTTCACTTCCTTAAAAAAGCCGCCACCTGTTTCCAGCAGGGGCGGCAGGTTTATGTGGGCCCACAGCCAAGCGTTTTGTCCCATTTGCTCTGTGGAAAAGAGAATCCCCCCCCCTTTACTGCTTCATAACTATAACCAGCACCACAAACCACCTGAAATTAGAACTCGGGGGGCTTCCGAGAGAGAGGCAGCCTGTCTTCCCTCCCGTGTTTGTAAAATCAACCTTCATAGACCGTCTCCAATATTTCTGCTTCCTAAGTCCCTTGCGGGGATAAGAGCCCTCTCGGCTCTCCCAACTTGAGAACTGCTTTTGGTGACTTAAGGGGGGGGGGAAATCATGATTCACCTTTTTTGGCTGACTTCTGCATGGCAAACCTTCGCTAAAGGCACAAGAGCCAACTGGGCGACTTTTTTCCTGATCAGCTGGCAACCCCGCAGCCTACCCTTCAGGACCTCTAGGGAGGAAGGCAGGGAGGGTCAAGGGTGGGTCCCACTGCAGCCCCTTGTGTCCAGAGCAAGGCTCCCTCTAAGCTGCGGAGTCCTGTGAGCAAAAATCCTACTTTGCGAGCTGCCAGCATTAAAGATTTGGCTACTGCATCAATCAGACTGCTCTGGAGCCCCATCCTTCCTGAGCCGAGACAAAAATGTGTGAGCCGGAGGCTATAAAATAACTGTGAGCTAGCTCACACTAACACAGCTTAGCGGGAACACCGGTCCAGAGTAGGTGTAGTGGTGTAGTTTGGTGTAGTGGTTAAGTAAAAAAGGTAAAGGTTCCCTTGCTCGAAAGCCAGTCGGATCCGACTCTAGGGTTGCGGTGCTCATCTCCATTTCCAAGCCGAAGAGCCAGCGCTGTCCGAAGACGTTTCCGTGGTCATGTGGCCGGCATGACTAAACACCAAGGCGCATGGAACGCTGTTCCCTTCCCACCGAAGTGGTACCTATTTATCTACTTGCAATTTCTTGCTTTCGAACTGCTAGGTTGGCAGGAAGTGGTTAAGTGGGCGGACTCTAATCTGGGAGAACCGGGTTTGATTCCCCACTCCTCCACTTGCAGCTGCTGGATGACCTTGGGCAAGCCATGGTTCTGTCAGAGCTGTCCTTGAAAAAGAGCCGTTTCTGTCAGAGCTCTCTCAGCCCCGCCTACCTCACAGCACGTCTGTTGTGGGGAGGGGAAGGGAAAGGAGTTTGTAAGCCACTCTGAGACACCTTTGGGTAGTGAAGGGCGGGGTATACATCCAATCTCTTCTTCTTCTTCTCCTCCTCCTCCAGGTGAGGCCCGGAGATCTCTCAGAATTATGACGAATCTCCAGGCAACAGAACAACGTTTGAGTCCAGTGGCACTTATAAGGTCAACAAAGTTTAATTCTGGGTGTAAGCTTTCATGTGCACGCACACGAGTACACACACACAAAAGCTTATACCCCAAATTTAACTTTCTTGGTCTTTAAAGGTGCCAACCAGACGAAAACTTTGTCCTGTCATTTCAGACCAACACGGCAACCCGCCTGAATATCTCCAGACAGCAGAGTTCAATTCCCCTGGGAAAAAATGGCGGCTTTGGAGGGCGGACTCTCTGGTGTTATTGGCGGGACAGGAGCTAATTGGTAGCTAATGCAGTTGCTGTCGTGTCGGGGGTCACATGCTCCTGATAGCTGGCCTCGACCAGCAGTCTAGCTGTGGCAGTGTGCACTGGCTGCAGCTCTTCAGGGGTAGCCCCAAGTGGAGTGCATTGCAGTAGTCCAGTCCAGTGTTCCCTCTAAGCTGGGTTAGTGTGCGCTAGCTCACAGTTTTTTAGCGTCCAGTTCACACATTTCTGTTTCAGCTCAGGAAGGATGGCTCCAGAGCAGACTAATTTATGCAGTAGCCAAATTTCTTGCTCACAACTTTAATGCCAGTAGCTCACAAAGCAGAATTTTTGCTCACAAGACTCCACGGCTTAGACGGAACATTGGTCCAGTCTCGTCTCTTGGTTTCTGCTGCTCTGCGATACTCATGCATGCTGAAGATGCTGCATAGGCAGCATTGACACGACAACCTCTGGCACTTAAAGAACAACACGTTTATCATGCTGGAAGCATTTCCTCAGTTGGTGGCACACGCTGCACGGACAGGGCTTCCCCCACTGAAAGCGTGGGCCAGGTTCTCCCCCCACCCCACCCCCCATCTCTTAGTCTGCTTCTCCCCACAGAACGGAGGAGGAGCCATTGGCTGCCAGGGAGACGGGGGTTCTGTCGGAAGAGGAGACCCGGCCTTTGATGGAAGCCCCTCTGGTGCCTTTGGGTGAGCCGTGGGGATTGGAGGGCGGAGGTGGGGACTGGGGCCGGGAAAAGGGGTGGGTTTAAGAACATAAGAGACGCCAATGTTGGATCAGGCCAAAGGCCCATCCAGTCCAACACTCTGTGTCACACAGTGGCCGGAAATACCAGGTGCCATCAGGAGGTCCAGCAGTGGGGCCAGGACGCCCTCCCACTGTTGCCCCCCCCCCCAAGCACCAAGTGTACAGAGCATCACTGCCAAGACAGAGTTCCTATCTATACCTTGTGGCTGATAGCCACGGATGGACCTCTGCTGCATATGGTTATCTAATTCTCTTTTGAAGCCATTCATGCTTGTAGCCGCCAGCACCTCCTGTGGCAGTGAATTCCAAGTGTTAATCACTCTTTGGATGAAGAAGGACTTCCTTTTATCCGTTCTACCCCGACTGCTCAGCAATTTCATGGAGCGCCCACGAGTTCTTGTACTGTGAGAAAGGGAGAAAAGTACCTCTTTCTCTACCTGCTCTTTCCCAATGCATAATCTTATAAACCTCGATCATGTCAACCCTCAGCCGTCGTTTCTCCAAGCTAAAGAGCCCCAAGCGCTTTAGCCTTTCCTCATAGGGGAAGTGTTCCAACCCTTTTATCATTCGAGTTGCCCTTTTCTGCACTTTTCCCAAAGCTATAATATCCTTTTTAAGGTGTGGCGACCAGAACTGCACACAGTCTTCCAAATGAGGTTGCGCCATTGATTTATAGAGGGGTTTGGGTCAGGCCTAAGGTCACTCTGTTGCAGACAGGCCTTGTTTCCTTTGCTGTGGGAGGTGGGGAGTGGCTCCGTGGTAGAGAAGGTCAGACCAGAACCAACAGGTTGAAATTAGATCAGATGAGTTTTCGGCTCAACATTAGGAAGAACTTCCTGACAGCTAGAGCACTTCCTCAGTGGGACAGGCTTCCTCGGGAGGTGGTGGGCTCTCCTCCTATGGAGGTTTTCAAGCAGAGGCTCGATGGCCATCGGACAGCAATACTGATTCTATGAATCTCGGCAGATCACGAGAAGGGAGGGCGGGAAGGGCTGCCTCAGTGCTTAGCTCTCGTGGCCCTTTCTTCCACGCCCAGGGAAATGCTGATTGCCACTCTGGGGTCAGGAAGCCATTTTTCTCCAGGCCAGTTTGGCCGGGGATCCTGGAGGCTTTTGGTCATCTTCTGGGCATGGAGCAGGGGTCACTGCGGGTATGTGTGGGGGAGGTATCTGTAAATTTCCTGCCTTGTGCAGGGGGGTTAGGCTAGATGACCCTGGAGTTCCCCTTCCAGCTCCGTGATTCTGGAGCATCTCCTTGGCCTGCAGAACGTCCCCGGTTCAATCCTCAGTGAGAGAATCAAGCAGCAGGCCATGTGAAAGACCTCCGGAGAGCTGCTGCGAGTCTCAGTAGACAATGGGCGACCTTCATGGACCGATTGAGTAGAAGGCAGCTCCATGTGCATCTGCTCGGCACGCGGGAGGTCCCCGGTTCAGTCCTCAGTTGAAAGGACGAGGTAGCAGGTAATGAGGTAGCAGGTGATGGGACAAGGTAGCAGCTGACGAGGTAGCAGGTAGCAGGACCTCTTTGCCCGAGACCCTGGAGAGCGGCTGCCAGTCTGAGCAGACGATACTGATCTTGTTGGGCCAAGGCTCTGATTCGGGATAAGGCAAGCTTCGTGTGAGGTCCTGGCTGCTGGAGGTCCTGGCACCGGCAGCGGAAGGAAACATCGGGAAAATGTTTTTCCGTCACTGAGACCCTGGAGAGCCGCTGCCGATCAGGCGTCATAAGTGATTGAAGCAGGGGTCATTCCGTAGGAAAAGAGGCGCAGGAGCTCGTTGGCATAACTCATTAGCACAACTCGTTTGCATAGGCCACACCCCCTGACCTCACCGGAAGTGTGTCAGGAGGCAACACCCACTGCTCAGGCTCCACTGGACTGTGTTGGATTGCTAGGTATTGGGAGGGGAGGGGAAATGTGCAGATCTGTCCTTGCAGAAGAGGGAGAGCTTGTACCTGAATAAAACTTGGTCTTAAAGCTGCCACTGGACTGTTTTGGATTGCTAGCTATGGGGGACGCGCAGATCTGCGCTCACAGAGGAGGGAGAGCTTGTACCTGAAGGCGGGACGGGGGAGGGCTTCTACAACTTACCTGGCTGCTTCTTGCTCCTTGTGGCCTGACTGAGGGCTGCTGGGAGCAGGGGGTGGGGCTTGCTGCATGTGCCCGCCCCCTGGGCTCCTTACTACCGGAGCTCCGCTCCTGTGCGCTCCCGCAGGAAATGACACTTGGATTGAAGATTCCTCCGGTGTGGCCAACGGGTCCAGGCTACCTCTGTGCCTTTCACCTCAGGCAACGGTTTTCACGATGTGACAGGATGCAGGGGCCTTCCTCTTAACGTCTGAGAATTGAGCCGTTCCTACGGAATCGGGAGCTCTTAAAACGATCCTTTGACACCCGCGTGGCAGTCGGAATCCACAAGCTAAACCCGGTCCTCTCGCTGGGGTCGCTAACCCTGAGCCTTTCTGACTCCCCCACAGAGATTACGCCCCCAAAGCCCGGGCTGGTGCCTTCTCCCCGTTCGCCGCTTGTCTCACCGAAACGGCAGCCCCCTCTGAGCCCTGAGGTAAGTGAGAGGGAGGCCGGGAGGAAGGCGGGGAGTCTTCTTCTGCCGGATGCTCCTTGGGGCGAGCGAGAGGCGCTCAGGAGCTGAGGAACAACCCCCCCTGCGGAGCTTCCGGCAAGTTCCGTCTGTCTCCCCAGCTCCGCCTGCCTGCCTACGAGCCGTCCCCAGCCCGCCCCTCCAGGCGACGGAGGCAGTTGCGCTTTGTGGATGAGGTAACCCAGATATCCCGGGAGGACTTTCAGAAGCAGATCTTGGACTCGCGGACCCAGTGTCAGCCCCTGGCAAGTTCTGCGGCTTATTTGTTTATTATTGTTGTCATTCCATACCATTTATGAATCATCTGTCTCCACAGTTGTGGAGCTCTAGGAGATGTAAGTAAAAGTTAAGGTTTCCCTTGCTCGAAAGCCAGTCAAATCCGACTCTAGGGGTGCGGCGCTCACCTCCGTTTCCAAGCCGAAGAGCCAGCGCTGTCCGAAGACGTAAGAGAAGCCAATGTTGGATAAGGCCAGTGGCCCATCCAGTCCAACACTCTGTGTCACACAGGGGCCAGAAATACCAGGTGCCATCAGGAGGTCCACCAGTGGGGCCAGGACACTAGAAGCCCTCCCACTGTTGTGCCCCCCCCCCAAGCACCAAGAATACAGAGCATCCCTTGCCCCAGACTGAGAGTTCCTATCTATAGGTAAAGGTAAAGGTTTCCCTTGCTCGAAAGCCAGTCTAATCTGACTCTAGGGATGTGGCGCTCACCTTCGTTTCCAAGCCAAAGAGCCAGCGCTGTCCGAAGACGTCTCCGTGGTCATGTGCGCCGAGGCGCATGGAACACTGCTACCTTCCCCACCGAAGCGGTACCTGTTTATCCACTTGCAGTCTCTTGCTTTCGAACTGCTCAGTCGGCAGGCGCCGGGGCCTTTTCGATTAATCCATGTCAGGATATTCACATCTTCTATGGTGCAGGAAGAGCGAATCTGTTCTCCACTGTGGGTAGCCGGATTGGACAGTTGATAACCATAAAAAGCCAGAATTTGGTACTGGTCACAAAATTGAGGATCCTGGAAAACTCCTGTATGTTTCTTTTTTGATGCAACATTTCAGGCTGTAAAGAGGGGCTATGTGTAGGGACAGTATGATGAAGATCTCAAAGGAAAGGGCGGCGATTGGCATATAATGTTTAAAAAAAGAAAGTCTGTAGCCCCTCTTTGTTGTGAAGATATGCCTTCCCCCTCTACATTTGCAAGGAAAAGAGCTAGAAGATTGTTACAAAAATTAAAATTGGGGCTTCGGAGAACCACTTGAGAATGTTGTAATTCCGTACTCTTCAAACTATTTGAGTTGCTTTATTATTTTATGGGTGTTTTTATTATTGTTCACTGCCCTGAGCCTTTTGTACTCAGGGGAGGGCAGTTTATAAATTTAATTTATAATATATAAAAATGAAATAGACACCCACCCTGGGGCAGCTCCGTTGCAGCCGAGCAGCATCGGCAGCCACTGCAGGGAAATCACAGACGTCTGTCCCCATCTGCAAAAACCAAGGACAAACCCATTTCTAGATGTGCAGGGTTGTGGCACTGTCGCTCTTTTTGTATGCGTTCACTGCCCTGCATCCAAACGAGCACGATCCAGGATCAGAACCGGCAAACAATGCAGGGAGTCCCCTTCCCCTCTCCTGATTGGTCTGTCTGACACCCGCTGTTTTCTTTCCCTCACGTTTAGGAGGCGGTGCTGTTGCCGGCTAAGAGGCTGAGGACCCCAGCCGAGCTCTTGGGCGCTCCAACGCACGGTGAGGGCTTCTCCCGGGCGGCATCCTTCCCAGGGCACTGGAAGGGCCTCTGCTTGGCACGCAGAAGGTCCCCGGTTCAATCCCCGGCATCCCGGGTGGTCCGATTCGGTATAAGACCGCTTTATGTCTTCAAGGTGCCACTACCAGGGTGGCTGCCGACCTCCAGGTGGTAGAACTTAGTAAGGAGAAACAACCGTGATATGATAATGACATCTTCTTAGGGGAAAAATATATCTTCTTCTTTCTTTTTTTCCATACTTAAGTTTTTCATTGAGTATCTAGCCATCCACAAACACACATTCATTATCCATCTTATCGATATACTCATTTTCCATTTTTAACAATCATAATAACCAAACAAAATAAAAAGAAATTCACCTGAGGTTACTATTCCAACAGCCTAAAATTTCTACTCTCATTTAATCCCTCTTCTTTTCATATGCCCCTATCTTACCCGTTTATAATTCCCGTCCAACTTCCCCATATTTTATAGTTAATCCTAATACAACTGCGGTGGCTCAAGTGGTTAAGACGCTGAACTGCAGGCTGTGGAAGGTCAGTAGTTCAGCAGTTCGAGACCCGGGTGTGCCGCATGATGGAGTGAGCTCCCATCTCTAGTTCCAGCTCCTGCCAACCTAGCAGTTCGAAAGCAAGAAATTGCAAGTAGATAAATAGGGACCACTTCGGTGGGAAGGGAACAGTGTTCCGTGCGCCTTGGTGTTTAGTCATGCCAGCCACATGACCACGGCAACGTCTTCGGACAGCGCTGGCTCTTCGGCTTTGAAACGGAGATGAGCACCGCCGCCCTAGAGTCGGATTTGACTGGCTTTCGAGGAAGGGAACCTTTACCTTTTACCTTTAATACAACTCACAATCTACAGTTCATTTCTACCTCAATTACTACTATTTTTCTCCATCTTCTTCAAAACCTGAAAAGAAAAGTTGAAAGGGATGCCTCCGATTATGGGTGCTACAGAGGACAACTCTACAGCGAGAGGTCAACCTCCTCTCTCCCTTTTACACCTTTCGTGTTTTTTTCCTGCAACTTTGTTCTGCTCCCTCTTCCTTTCTAACTTATGTCATGTCGATGACACCTTGAGTGAAACGGTCTCTTGAGCGCTGTGGCGTCAGAAAAACGTGAGACCAATTTACTTCCACGGAAACACCTTTTTTTTTTAATTTAAATTTTTTATTGTATATTCAGAATATTAACATAAACAACAATTCCTGTAAAATACATTTCAGAACATTTCAGAATAGATACTTCGCAAGTACCTGCTTTTTTAAGTAAATTTGCAATAAGCATGGTAGAGAATAATTGAAACATTGTACATTTAAAGACATTAATACAAGTATATAGCTTTAGAATACTATACAATCAAGAGCAACTGTTACAAGTGATTATGTAGAGATTCTTTGTTACTGTTCTACTTGAAAAGTTTTAAACGACCTTGTTACATGAAAACCAGTTGCGACTGAGCAATGTTTTGTGATATAGGTTTTCAGAACCATTTCAAGTAATCTTTCCAAGATGGAGGTATGTATTCTTCCTCCGATAGATAAGACAGAATTGGAAACCACTTTGCACTGAACGTTTTAATTGAGTTATTTTTCATGTAAGTACCCATTTTATCAGTTATACTTTCGAGGACATATTGGTCCCATAGCTTTCTGAACCAGATACGGATGTCAGGGGTATTCTTGTCTTTCCACATTGAAGCTATAGAGACTCTTGCAGCGTACAGCATTGTTTCTAGCGTATTTTTATTGTGATGTTGCTTGATCTGATTCGGCCACAGCTCTAATAATAGGCTTTCAGGGTCAAGTGTTAGGTCAATATCTAAGATCTGTTTTATCTTATTTATTACTTCTATCCAAAAGGATTTTATTTTTGTACATTGCCACCAGCAGTGTGAAAATGATCCCAGTTCACCACAGCCTTTCCAACATTTTGGTGAGTATGAAGATGACATATGTGAGATAGTTTGAGGTGTTAAGTACCATCTTGTTATGATTTTAAGTTTTTGGATTTCAACTGCATACGAGTGAGGTTTGTTTTGAGAAGACCTCCAGATCTCTGTCCAGTTTGTTTCATCTAATTTCTTTGAGCAGTCTTTCTGCCAAGCTTTCTGGTATTTTAGTGTTTTAGGATCATTGTCTTTGAGCAACGGAAACACCTTTAATGCTTTGCTACTCACTGGATAATTAAAGAAGATAGATGTTTCCTGAACAAGGTTTCGTTATCGTATCACGTGGTTGTTTTCTCCTTACAAAGTCCAGCCTGTCCCGTGATCTCTTGTCCTTGACTGGGCCTCCAGGTGGCGGCTGGAGATTTCCGGGGGTCTACAGCAAGGCTCCCTCTAAGCTGCGGAGTCTCGTGAGCAAAGATTCTACCTTGTGAGCTGCTGGCATGAAAGCTGCAGGCGAGCGATTTGGCGACTGCATACATTAGTCTGCTCTGGAGCCACATCTTTCCTGAGCGAAGGCAAAAATGTGTGAGCCGGAGGCTAAAAAACGGTGCGCTGGCTCACACTCACTCAGCTGAGAGGGAACACTGCTCTGGAGCCCTCCTCCCTGAGCGGAGGCAAAAAAGTACGAGCCGGAGGCTAAAAGCATCAGCTCGCTCGCATTAACTCAGCTTAGAGGGAACACTGGTCTACAGCTGATCCGCAGGCAACAGAGATCAGTTCCCCCGGAGGAAAGGGCTGCTTTGGAAGGTGGACTCTGTGTGGCGTTCGACCCCCTTGAAGTCCCTTCCCTCCCTGGGCTCCACCCACCCCAAATCTCTAGATATTTCCCATCGCAGAGCCGGCAGTCCACTGGAGTTTCATTTTAGTTCCTCTAATGCCCCCCCCCCCTTGCAAGAAGCTCTGAGCCGCTCTGGCTGTCCCCGGACACCTTCCGGGCCGCGGTCGAAGCCTGGCTTGTGCACCGCTTCTTGTTGGCATCACAAGTCCTCCTGGCCCCGCCCTGCAAACCAGCTGCAACGTTGCACACCAGTCCCACCAATCCCGGAGGATCGCTTGCGACAGATGCACCCTTCAAAGAAGAAGGAGAAGAAGAGATTGGCTTTATACCCTGCCCTTCACTCGGAGTCTCAGAGCCAGGGCTCTTTTTGTAGAAAACGCCCAGCAGGAACACATTAGCATAATAGGCCACACCCAGCAGCAAAACTCATTAGCATAATAGGCCACACCCAACAGCAAAACCCATTAGCGTATTAGGCCACACCCTGAGAGCACCGCTTATTAGCACATTAGGCCGCACCCCCACGTTACCAGAAGTGTTGTCATCCAGCCACACCCACCTTTTGCTTCTTATTCTGTTTACCTTGTTTGTTGTCAAAACCCAGGGCCTTTTTTTGTAGCAGGAACTCCTTTGCATGTTAGGCCACACACCCCTAATGTAGCCAATCCTAATGAGTTTCTGCTGTTGGGTGTGGCCTGTTATGCTAATGAGTTCGTGCTGGGCGTGGCCAACTTGGAAGCCAGCCGGAACTCCGTTCCTGTGCGCTCCTGCCCAAAAATAGCCCTGCTCAGAGCAGTTTACAATCTCCTTTCCCTTCCCCTCCCCACAACAGACACCCTGTGAGGTAGGTGGGGCTGAGAGAGCTCTGACAGAAACAGCTCTTTTTCAAAAACAGCGCTGACAGAACTATGGCTTGCCCAAGGTCATCCAGCAGGCGCAAGTGGAGGAGTGGGGAATTGAACCCGGTTCTCCCAGATTAGAGTCCGCGCACTTCACCACGACACCAAAGAAGGGAGATAATCTCACGGCACAGGCCAGATCCCGCTGTGTCATCTGACGATGGGGGCTGTGTCCTCTTGTGGTCTTGTGCCATGCTAAAAGGTGGCTTTTAATTTCCCAGCAGTTGCCGGCCTCTGTGGGGGCAGGGGGAGGTGGTTCCCGGTCAAGGCAGGAGGGAGTGCCCGCCACCTCCAGGCCGTAGGATACTCCCGGCCCTTATGCCGTCTGGTCCTCCTCCACAGGATGGATGCATCCCACCCTCCGTGGCCTCTGGACCCACTGTGCCAACCTCCAGCATGTGGATTACGCCAGGCGGAGAGCAAGGGAGGAAGAGGAGCAGAGAAGGGAGGAAGAGGAGCAGCGGCCCACAGAGGTTCCCAGCGAAGTTGAGGTGGGGGAAAATGCCTCTCCCCCCCCCCATGCCTGTAGTGGCTACTGGAGGGTTGTGCTGAAGCTCAGCGGACAAGAGTAAGACATTGAACTGGGGTGTCGGGGGGGGGGGGCCCTGCGGTGGCTCAAGTGGTTAAGACACCGAATTGCAGACCGGAAGGTCGGTAGTTCAGCAGTTCGAGACCCGAGTGCCGCCTGACGGAGCGAGCTCCCGTCTCTGGCCCCAGCTCCTGCCAACCTAGCCGTTGGAAAGCAAGAAATTGCAAGTAGATAAATAGGTACCGCTTCGGTGGGAAGGGAACAGCGTTCCGTGCACCTCGGCGTCTAGTCATGCTGGCCACATGACCACGGAGACATCTTCGGACAGCGCCGGCTCTTCGGCTTGGAAACGGAGATGAGCACCGCGCCCCTAGAGTCGGATTCGACTGGCTTTCGAGCAAGGGAAACCTTTACCTTTTATATGTGGGGGAGGAAAAGAGCACATCAGCCAGAGATGGTGCTATAGCAGTGCCTGCCAAAGGGCACAGCGTTACAGGCAAACAGGTTCTCTGCATGTTGTTGCCAGAGAATTGACAGGCTGGGGTGAGGGCGTACGGTTCGGAGGTCTTCAAAAACGGCTCTGCATTCATGGCATATGGGCCAGTCCGTGGCGATTAACTCCGAAAACCCAATCAAACCTCCAAGTTCAGAGGCAGTGTACCTCTGGATGCTGGGGACAGGCAGCAGGGGAAGGCTGCCGCTTTTATGTCCCGCCGGGGAACGTTTGCTGGGCCACCAGCAGAAACAGAACGCCAGACAGGACAGGCTGTTGGCGTGACTGTGGAACTTGCTGTGGGCTTTTGCGATGCTCCAGAGTTGAAGAACTGAGCTAGGGAACTGGAAAACCTGGGGCCGCATTCCACCTTCGCCCCCGACCGCCTGCACTCACTTGAGCGAATCATCGTCTTGTGGTTCTTCAGTATCCGTAAACTGTCACAACCGGGCCTGTGCGTGCCTTCCCCGCCTCTTTGGCCTCCGTTACCCAGAATCCCTGCCGTCTCTGAAGCTGCCTTGCCTCCTTCCTGCCTACTAGTCCGTCCCTCACCAAAGAGGGGCAGCCTTCTATCGCGGAGGTATTTCCCTCGAGCCGTTCTGTGACATCACAGCAGCTCAGCCAATGGGGTGGGAGTTTTCTCAGCTATCTCTCAGAGGAAATAGCTGAGAAACTCCCACTCCATAAGAACAGTGTTTGTCCCACTCTTTTAACTCTGACCCTTGGTGATCATTTTTCTTTTTGAAGGTTCTGCGAGAAGCCGAAGAACCGAGCGTGCGCACACTTGCGGGCTCCTCAGGTGGGTGGACGGATCTGCCTCCCTTGGCAGTCGCTAAACACAATGGGATCTTGGGGATGCGGAGTACAGTCACGAAAACAAAACACACTGTGGAGAGCACACATTCAAGTGCTACTTAAAGGCATTTGTCTCAGATTCGATTAATGAAAAAAATGGGAAAAAATAATAAGAACGTAAGAGACGCCAATGTTGGATCAGGCCAAAGGCCCATCCAGTCCAACACTCTGTGTCACACAGTAGCCAGAAATACCAGGTGCCATCAGGAGGTCCACCAGTGGGGCCAGGACATTAGAAGTCCTCCCACTGTTGACCCCCACCCAAGCACCAAGATGACAGAGCATCACTTGCCCCAGAGTCCCTATCTATACCTTGTGGCTAAGAGCCACTGATGGACCTCTGCTCCATATGCTTATCTAATTCCCTTTTGAAGCCGTCCATGCTTGTAGCCGCCACCCCCTCCTGTGGCAGTGAATTCCAGGTGTTAATCACTCTTTGGGTGAAGAAGGACTTCCTTTTATCCGTTCTAACCCGACCGCTCAGCAGTTTCACGGAGTGCCCACGAGTTCTTGTACGGTGAGAGAGGGAGAAAAGTACCTCTTTACCTGCTCTTTCCCATGCGTAATCTTATAAACCTCAATCATGTCACCCCTCAGTCGTCGTTTCTCCAAGCTAAAGAGCCCTAAGCGCCTTAACCTTTCCTCATAGGGAAAGTGTTCCAACCCTTTTATCATTCGAGTTGCCCTTTTCTGCACTTTTTCCAAAGCTATATCCTTTTTAAGGTGTGATGACTAGAACTGCACACAGTATTCCAAATGAGGTCGCACCATTGATTTATATAGGGGCGTTATGATATTGGCTGATCTGTTTTCAATACCCTTCCTAATAATCCCCAGCATAGCATTGGCCTTCTTTATTGCAGTCACACACTGTCTCGACATTTTCAGTGAGTTATCTACTACAACTCCAAGATCTCTCTCTTGATCAGTCTCTGCCAGTTCAGACCCCATCAACGTGTATTTATATTTAGGATTTTTGGCTCCAATGTGCATCACCTTGCACTTGGCCACATTGAACCCCATTTGCCATGTTGACGCTCTTACCTTATCATGCATAGAGATTGGAATGTAAACCCTTTAATATGATCCAGATATACTTATTAGTTATTAAAGCGCTAAGACTTTGAAACAAACTACACAAGTGCAAGCAGGGGTCATTTCCCGTGGGAGCGCACAGGAGCAGAGCTCCGGCAGTAAGGAGCCCAGGGGGCGGGCACATGCAACAAGCCCCGCCCCCTGCTCACAGCAGCCCGCAGTCAGAGCAAGAAGCAGCCAGGTAAGTTGCAGAGTCCCCCCCCCCGGTTCCAAAACAGTCCAGTGGCACCTTTAAGACCACGTTTTATTCAGGTACAAGCTCTCCCTCCTCTGCGAGGACAGATCTGTTAGCAATCCAAAACAGTCCAGTGGAGCCTGAGCGGTGGTTGTTGCCTTCTGACACACTTCCGGTGATGTCAGGAGGTGTGGCACACGCAAATAAGTTATGCTAATGAGCTCCTGCACCTCTTTTTCTACTAAATGACCCCTGAGTGCAAGTATGCATAAAGAAACCTCCCGAGAGCAACACCAGTAAATGGGCTGTGTGCAGCCCTTGAAAACAGCTATTATCATCTTTACTTAGGGCTGCCAAATCGGGCCGGGTGGCGGGGAAACCCCCGTTTTGGAGGCCCGATTTCCGCTGCGGCGGAATTGGGCCCCAGGGGAACCCTGCCCCCGGCATGCGCGTCACTAGGAAGTGACGTGGGCACGCCGGGGGTGGGGCCATGTATGGCCGTGGCCCCGCCCCCAGCGTGCCTACGTCACTTCCGGGTGATGTGCATGCGGCGCGCACGCACTCACCCAACGCTGGCCGGGAGCCCCCCGCTCCCGGCGAAGACTGATTTGGCAACCCTATCTTTACTGCTTCTTAATTTCCGAGCTTTCAGGTCTGCAGGGAGGCTAAGGAAACCGGCTGACGTCTCTTGTCGGCCGCGAAAGTTTCGCTTCTTCGGAGCCAATGTATTCTTATGGAACCACGAGGTTTACATACTTTGCATGCCTTATCAATACTCCCACGTGGGCTCAGTTGCACTCCTTTCGGCACAGGCGTGCCTCTAAGTAGCCCTTGAATGTTATCTGATCTAGAGTAATTTGTGCGCCCCCGCAGTATTCCCTCGGCGATTGGTCAGGGAAGGGGGTCTGGGAATCTTCTGCCTCACGGGCTGCTGCATGGACTGCCTCCCCACTCCTCTCAAACAACGACAACCCCCCCCCCCCTCCAGGGCCCTCCTCACAGTACGCAAACCCTGCCTGTTTTTTCCTCCATGCGGCAGAAATCTCCCTGGAGTCCTCCGAGGAAGAGCTGCGCTCTAGTCTGGTGGCCGCTGAGGAGAGGTGAGACCGACCCCTTCTGCTCCCCCCTTGCCTTTTTAGGGGGAAGCCGGCCCGGTCTCACCCTCCGGCCTCTCTCACCCACAGGATCCTCGTGGAGCCAGAGGAAGTGATGCTCCCCGTGGTGCCCGAACTCCCTGAAATAAGCTTCGAGCTGCCGCTGGATAAGGACATGCTCACCCTCACGGACGTGCGCAGGTGCGAGCACGAGGGTTGATCTCCCCCCAGGGTTGGGGGACAGGGGGGCATAGCGAAACTTGCCTGATTCCGTCGCACCCAAAGGCTGGCTCGCTTGGGAGCAAGGGCTGCTGGGAAACAAAAATGGCTGCCGCTTGCCGGAGGCCTCTCCCCCGTCCGGACCTGCTCACCCTTTGGGATTCTTCTGTTAGCGTTACCTTGGCCCCGAGGAGCACCCAGTTCGGCCAGGGGCATGCCTGGTTGCTACTGGGGACGCCAACCAATGTTCCCTCTAACCTGTGGAGCCCTGTGAGCAAAAATTGTACTTTGTGAGCTTCTGGCATTAAAGTTGTGAGCAGGTGATTTGGCTACTACATAAATTAGGTTTGCTCTGGAGCCGCCCTTCCTGAGCTAAGACAAAAATGTGTGAGCCAGAGGCTAAAAAACTGTGAGCTAGCTCACACTCACTCAGCTTAGAGGGAACACTGATGCCAACCTCCAGGTGGAGGGCCCTGGAGATCTTCCAGAATGACAGCTGGTCTTTGGGTGACAGAAACTAGTTCTCCTGGAGAAAACGGCATCGCACCTGCTGAGGTTCCACTCCTCCCCAAAACTGGGCTCCGGTCGATGCCGGTGTGGCCAATACAGAGGGCTTCCCTGAGGACCATAGTTGGTGCACAGCGGTGTTCCCTCTAAGCTGAGTCAGTGTGAGCCAGCTCACAATTTTTTAGCCTCCGGCTCACACACATTTTTGTCTCCGCTCAGGAAGGGTGGCTCCAGAGCAAACTAGTTTACGCAGCAGCCAAATCACTCACTCGCAATGTTAATGCCAGGGGCTCACAAAGTAGAATTTTTGCTCACAAGACTCCAAAGCTTTTAGAGGGAGCATTGGGCCATTCCACGGAAGGATAGAGACTTGATGTCAGTTCTCCTGACGGCTGCAAAGAACTTAACTTGGAAACAGCCACGTGTTCCCACGGTAAATCGGTAGAATCAGAGGGTCTGGGACTATTTGATTGCTGACAAGATTGCAGATTGGATGGTTCGGCATGAGAATGCACATTTGGTGTAGTGTGGTTTGGTGTAGCCAGTTTGGTGTCGTGGTTAAGTGCGCGGACTCTAATCTGGGAGAACCGGGTTTGATTCCCCACTCCTCCACTTGCACCTGGCTGGATGACCTTGGGCAAGCCGTAGTTCTGGCACAGCTGTTCTTGAAAAAGAGCAGTTTCTGTCAAAGCTTTCTCAACCCCACCGACCTCACAGGGTGTCTGTTGTGGGGAGGGGAAGGGAAAGGGGTTTGTAAGCTACTCTGAGACACTCTGAAGTGTGGGGTATAAATCCAAACTCTTCTTCTTCTTCTGTCATTTCAGGCTGGTGGCTGCTAAACTGCAGCAGTTTGGCGAGACGGAGTTCGAACAGCTGGTGCCTTCCACCACTTCCAGGGCTGTCGCCAGCCGGTTCTTCTACATGTGCCTGGGTAGGTGGCGGGGACGGGGGGCCTGCCTGGCGGACGGCGAAGGGGGAATGCCGGCCTTTTGCTCCTCCCCTCGTCCCGGGTAGTGGTTCGTAGGGTCGTGTTGGGGAGGCAGACCCACCTTCCATCTTCAAAGGTGTGTGTGTGGGGGAGGTTTCCTCGCCTTCCCCAGGGGTTCTCCCTAGGGCAGAGGTGTCGAACTCATTTGTAACGAGGGCCGGATCTGACACAAATGTCGGCTTTGTCGGGCCCGGGGCCACGTGTGCCATAAACGTAATGCCAGGTCCCGGAGGTATAAACTGTGCAAAGGACAGCAGCTGGTAAGCTCCTCCTCACTGCAAGGCCCCATTGCATAGGAGAACCCATATGGGCAGACGGGAGAGCCAGGGGTGCCGCACTGGGCAGACGCTCCCACACTGCTTGTCTGCTGCTGCTGCTGCAGACGAGGTCGTTCCGCCATGCTGAAGCCACAATCGGAGTGGCTCCTCCCACTCCCCCCCCAGCAGCCTCCTGTTCCCTCCCTCGCACTAGCTGCTCGCGGGCCACAGAAGAGCCCCGGGCGGGCCGGTTCTGGCCCCCGGGCCTTATGTTTGACACCTCTGCTCTCGGGTCTCCCTGTTGTTTGACCTCTAGAACTGGCTTGCCTCTCTCTGTGTGGGACAGGAGGCTGGACTAGACGGACCCTCACCGGGTCCAGTGGGGGGCTCTTCTGATGTTCTTAGGATCAGTCCTGTAGCAGCACAGGGGGTTTGCAGGCCGGCAGCTGACGGACAGGAGAGTTCTGGACAGTTGCAAGGAAGGAGGGGGGGTTCCTCCCTCCCCGTTTGCCTCTGGCGGTCTATCTGGATCGGGCTTGCCGGCCATGGGATGGGGGCCCAGAGACCTGGAGTCAGGACAGTTCCCCGTGAGAAAATGGCTGCTCAGGAAGGGGGATGTTTTACCCCGCCGAGGTCCCTTCTTTCCCCAAACCCCATCCTACCAAGGCTCCGCCCCCACAAATACCCACGGAATCCCTGATGCAGGACTGGTACCTCTAATTCGAATCCATTCAAAAAAAAAAAACTTGCCGAAGTCCTCTGTGTGGGGGTGGGAGCAGGAAGAGAGTCAACTTAAGCCTAGAGATGTGAAGGCCCGGGAAAAAAACAGAAAAATTCAGAAAAAAACCGTTTTTTTCCCTGAAGCCTTTTTTGTTTTTTTCCCAAAAAATTGGAAAAATTGAAAAAAAAAAAATTTGATTATGGAACATTCTATTTTAACACGATGAATAAAATATTTTAAGACAAGGTGTTCAAATATTTTCCAAATCATTTCTAAAATATATATATATATATGGTATCAGATTGATCTAATTTCTGTGCATTGAGGACAAGCAAGTCCTAGGTTACAAATTGAACTCTCCAATGCAAGAACAAGATGCATTTCTTCCTTTAGGAGGTGCGATTGTCACGAGAAAAGAAAAAGGTTTCAGTTTTGTTTTTGCATGTGGGTGGGTATTCTGTTTGTAATAACTGTTTGGATACACTATATTTTTAATAGGCTAGTTGTGATAATTTCATGCCAAGTAAAAATGTCCATAGTCATATTTCATGTTCCTAAAGTAACAGAATGACTTTCAATCTAGAAAAGACAAAAGAAATGTTAATGTAGCATTTTTTTTCAATTTTTCCGAAAATTTCCGTTTCCCCCCGGAAAAAAACTGGAAAAAAACCGGTTTTTTTTTTTTTCCCAAGCTTCAAAATTTCCGGAAATTTTACATCTCTACTTAAGCCCCACCCCCTCCCCCCCCGCCACAGTTCTCGCAGGAAGCCACTACTTCCGCCTGGAGCAAGCGGAGCCCTTCGGCCGGATCCTGATCAAGCCTGGCACCCGCTTCCACCCCAGCTAGCGGCACCTGCCCACCGCGATCCATCTCGGCTGTGGGCCCACACTTGAGGAAGAGGACAGCAGCTTTTATAATTGCTTCTGTGGTTTCAAGTGGTTGGAGTTGTTTTAAAAGAATTGGTAGATCTTGGTTATTCAAACTGTGTCTTGTCACTAAAGTTGTTGGTTTTTTAAATAAACGTAACTTTTCAAGTGGAAAAATGCATCGGCGTGCCTTTGAATTACTGGTATACGTAGATGCTGCTTAGGACAACCTGCTGGATCAGTTCAGAAATCCATCCGGACAGCCTTTTGCTGGTCCCCCAGGACTGGTAACCACTGCTTGCACTGCTCCAAGAATATTTTAAGAGCTTGATTTATCACTCTGCTTCTCCTGTCTTAATAATTTCTAAAGCGCCCAGAATTTACTCATTTGAATAATTAACAACCTTTCTCCTTTGCAAAACAATGATAAAAAAATTAAAAACAAGATGAGTGAAACCATTATTAAAAGGTAAAGGTTCCCTTGCTCGAAAGCCAGTCGAATCCGGCTCTAGGGTTGCGGTGCTCATCTCCGTTTCAAAGCCGAAGAGCCAGCGCTGTCCGAAGACATTTCCGTGGTCATGTGGCCAGCGTGACTAAACACCAAGGCGCATGGAACACTGTTACCTTCCCATCGAGGTGGTACCTATTCATCTACTTGCAATTTCTTGCTTTGGAACTGCTAGGTTGGCAGGAGCTGGGACCAGAGACGGGAGCTCACTCCGTCACGCGGCACACTTGGGTCTCGAACTGCTGAACTACCGACCTTCCACAGCCTGCAGTCCAGCGTCTTAACCATTTGAACCACCGCAGCTCCTATAAAACCATTATAAAAACACATAAAAGGCCACAATTTTAAAACTCCAGTTAGGACTGCTAAAAAAAAAAAAAAAAAGAGGCTAAACCAGTCAAGTGCAGTCCTAAGTAAAACCATTTTCAACGGCCTCTTGAAAATAGACAAGTGAGGGGGCGAGGCACACCTCTGTGAGCAGGTTCTTCCGTAAGTGTGGAGCTGCCACTGAAAAGGCCCTGTTCTGTATCCCCACCAGATGAGCTTCTCTGATTGGTGGGGCAGTCAGGAGTTAATTTCAGTCCAGGAACATACAGGAGAAGGCAGTCCATTGGAGACCCTGGTCTCAAGCCATGTAAGGCCTTCAAGGGCAAAACCAACCCATTCCATTACTTATTGGGTGGAGGTCTCGTTTCATCCATCACCTGTCAGTTTCTTGGGAGGGCACCTAGTGTGCCAGGGTCACGATAATCCCAATTTAGAGCCCACCTAACTGTAGGAGTCTATCCTACCCCCTTCCACCTTTCCCCTCCATCACAAACGTGCCTTTCTTTGTCTGGTTTTGAAGAAGAGGAGATTGGATTTATACCCCACCCTTCACTACCCGAAGGAGTCTCAGAGCAGCTTACAAGCTCCTTTCCCTTCCTCTCCCGCCAACAGACACCCTGTGAGGTAGGCGGGGCTGAGAGAGCTCTGACAGAATCTGCCTATTCAAGGACAGCTCTGACAGAACTATGGCTTGCCCAAGGTCATCCAGTAGCTGCGAGTGGAGGAGTGGGGGAAATCAAACCCGGTTCTCCCAGATTAGAGTCCGTGCACTTCACCACTACACCAAGCTGGTAGACAAACCTGCCTTTGATGTGCCAAGTTTGCCACTCTTGCACTTCTCTCTGGCACCTGGCATTGGAGAATGCCCCAGCAAGTCTATCTGGGCTACAGGACCAGCCGAAACAGAGCCACGTTGGCCACAGGAGGTGGGGGAAGAACTTAAGAAATTGCCTTAATCGGATCACTGGTTTCTCTGGGCTCAAACAAGAATGTTCAAGCCCAGTATTTCTCAATACTGGCACAGAATCTGGGACCTTCTGCCTGAAAAGCACCCATCCTGCCCATGTGCTCAGGCCCCGCCCAACTGCAAGCAGAGGACAACCTCACCCGTCACGGTCTGTTGATGAGCCCACCTAGCCAGGGCCCCAGGAGCTATTGATCGATTCAAAACCATGAGGGACCATCCCCAGGCGGCTTTCCCACTGTTCCAACTAGTTTGACCTTGTCGTGATCTGGGCTGTGCAAGCAAGGCCTAGCAGGCCCAGGGAGCCTGTGTAGCAGTGGGAGGAGGCTACGCCTACAACTCCCAGAAGCCCCTGAGAGGTTTTGGAGCCAAAATTAGCCAATCACAGAGAAAGGGGACTTATAATAAAAGAACTGGTGCAAGAGGAGAAGCTGTTCGTCTTCCCAGGGAACAGGGCCAGAAGAGAGGCCTCATCCTGAGGGAAGGGTGAGTAGTCTAGTGTCACTTGGAATAGTGAGTTAGGGACAGTCTATATTTAGACACGTTAGGGCATTTGATTTCTTTTCACCCACTTAATGTTATAATTCTGTACCTTGTTGTTTGACCTCCTATAAAATAAACCTTTTCCTTGTTGTTTACTCTGTCTGGTCCTCACGCCTATTATTCGGCCCAAAGGGAGGTCTGAAGGTCTTGGGAGGGTGCTCCGGGCCTTCTCAAGGGAGCCTAGAACCAGAGTGGTGGCAGCATCAGGTGACACCCCACCTGAGCCGTGACAGACCCCCCAGTCATAAACGCAACCGATTCAGGCGAAAGTTAATTTTATTTGCAAGGTACACAATATAATGTTTGTCTCTCTCAAAAAAATACCAAATGTTAAATACAAACCAGAGGTTGCAGCTGTGCACTGTTTTCAATCCAGGCCTCCAGCTGAACACCAGGAACGGTCCTAGACTTGCCGAAGAATAAACCCCTGTGACCGGTGAAGAACCACTAACACTTTTGGCAAAAAAAAAAAAACCACACCCCAACGACCACCCTGTGAGGGAGTACAGAGGGGGGGGAGGGCAGCAGCTCTGGGAACGGTTCCCAACAGGGCAGGGAAGACGAGGAAAAGTCAAATGGGCTCAAAACAGGCTCCTTCGACAGGGAGGAGAAAGGCAAATCCATCATGGCACTGGGAGCAGCGGCTTTATTTTGGCAGTGGGTCAGAGGAGGTTGGCGGGACAGCCCCCGACAAAAACCGACTGGCCGTTTTGGGGACCAGGTGGCGTTTCGGTCGGAGACAGAAGCGTGTACACGATACACAACCCCACGGATGGTGAAGGGAAGAACCGAGACTGGCAAAATGGTCGAGGCGACTGAACTCTTTGGCCTGGCAGGCGGAGGGGAAGTGGGCCACGGTCTGAGTCACCCCACTCCCGCTCCAGTGTCTGGAATCGATCCTCTTTAACCCTATGGAGCTTGAGGGAGTGGGGTCCTCCTTGCTGCCACCGCCTCCTCCTCAAGAGGAGCCGAGAGCCGCTTCGAGCAGGGCCTGGGCTTCCGGAGGCAGCGAGCGCTTGGCCGACTGGAACTTGTCTGGGCAGCCGATGGACAGGTCGCGGAGCAGCGTCACCAGGCTGTTGCGGGCGGCTGTAGGGAAGAATAGCAGTTCTGGTTGGGGGGCCGTGAGGCCAAAAGTGCGCAGCTAAGATTGCAGGGCCCATGGAGGAGCCAGATGCCCCTGTGGACACATGAACCCAATGAAGAAGAGGAGGAGATTGGGTTTATACCCTGCCCTTCACTCGGAGTCTCACAGTGGCTTACAATCTCCTTTCCCTCCCCCTCCCCGCAACAGACACCCTGTGAGGTAGGTGGGGCTAAGAGAGCTCTTTCGAGGACTGCTCTTGAGAGAACAGCTCTGAGAGAACTTGTGATTGACCCAATGTCACACCAGCAGCTGCATGTGAAAGAGTGGGGACTCAAACATGGTTCTCCCAGATCAGAGTCCACGCTCCTAACCACTACACCAAACTGGCTGGCTGTTTTCCTTATACTGCCTCATAAGATGCCCTATACTGAGCCAGTTTGGTGTAGTGGTTAAGTGCATGGACTCTAATCTGGGAGAACCGGGTTTGATTCCCCACTCCTCCACTTGCACCCGGCTGGATGACCTTGGGCAAGCCGTAGCTCTGATAAGGAGCTGTCCTTGAAAAAGAGCAGTTTCTGTCAGAGCTCTTTCAGCCCCACCTACCTCACAGGGTGTCTGTTGTGGGGAGGGGAAGGGAAGGGAGTTTGTCAGCCGCTCTGAGACTCCTTCGGGTAGTGAAGGGCGGGGGTAGAAACCCAGTCTCCTTCTTCTGATTCAGTCCATCAAAGTCAGTTGTGTCCACTCAGAAGGGCAGTGGCTGCTCTCCGGGGTCGCAGGCAGAGGCCTTTTCCCATCACCTGCTCCTTTTCATCTAGAGAGTTCTGGGACTGAACCTGGGGCCTTCTACTTGCCAAGCAGAAGCTCGATAGACCACTAAGCCAATGGCCCTTCTCCTAAATTTGAGCCGGGTACAAAGATTTATTTTATTTTTTGGGGGGGGGAGAGAACACAAACCCAGGATTATTTCTCTTAGGACCTGATGAAAACAGCCTTTGCCAATTTGTGGGAGGCCCCCCTCCCTGGCTGCCCAAAGGGCAGTGGAGAGCTACAGACGTCCGCAAGCATCTTCCTCCCTGTACACTTTTCCACTGAGAGTTGGAATACGGAGCAGAGGTCCAACGGTGGCCATTAGCCACTAAGTTTCGATAGGAGCTCACGGTCTGGGGCAAGGGATGCTCTGTATTCTTGGGGCTGGGGGGGGGGGGCAACAGTGGGAGGGCTTCTAGTGTCCTGGCCCCACTGATGGACCTCCTGTTGGACGGTATGGGCCACTGGCCGGATCCAACAGTGGCTCCTCTTATGTTCTTATAGGAACCCTCAGTCTGGGGCAAGGGATGCGCCGTATTCTTGGTGCTTGGGGGGTCAACAGTGGGAGGGCTTCTGGTGTCCTGGCCCCACTGCTGGACCTCCTGATGGCCCCTGGTATTTCTGGCCCCTGTGTGACACAGAGTGTTGGACTGGATGGGCCACTGGCCTGATCCAGCACTGGCTTCTCTGATGTTCTTAATATTGGACGGGTGTGGACTGGCAAATCCCCGCTTTGCTACGAAGCGTACAGGACCTGGCCTAGTTCGGGGGTCCCCAACATGATAGCCGGGGGGGGGGGGCACTACAGTGCCTACTGACGCCTTTCCATGTGTCCCACCAAGTGTTTTGAGAAAGTGGGCACAGCTGCCCAGCAGGGCCACTGGAGATCTGACTGACTCCACAGAGTTTTCGGAAGCTGCTTCGGCAACGACGGCCGCCACAGTCACGAGGACCCGCGTTGTGTCGCTGCAAATGTACGAAAACGTCTCCAAAAACATAATTTATTTTTAAAGGCAGCCTGTTACGCTTCTGCCAGAAATGTTGAAGAGCTACTACTAGAGTTACACGCGACCTCATTCTCTAGCGTTTTGTGGTTGTCCCCGCCTACTGCGGTGGCCATTTTGTGACTGGCTCCGCCTCCCGCAGTAGCCATTTTGTGATGACACCCCGTGTCAGAATTCCAAAGGGGGGCCTGCAGGCTTGAAAAAGCTGGGGACCCCCTGTCTATTTTAAGTCTTCTCTCAGCCTAACACCGCTCTCTCTCTCTCAACAGAAGGATAAAAAGGAGCAGAGATGGATGACGCTAGTGAGTTTGAGGCTTTAAAAAAATGATGGGGAGAAGATGAAGAGGAGATTGGATTTATACCCCGCCCTTCACTACCCAAAGGTGTCTCAGAGCGGCTTACAAACTCCCTTCCCCTCCGCACAACAGACACCCTGTGAGCAGTGTTTCCTCTAAGCTGAGTTAGTGTGAGCTAGCTCACAGTTTTTTAGCCTCTGGCTCACACATTTTTGTCTCCGCTCAGGAAGGAGGGCTCCAGAGCAAACTAATTTATGCAGAAGCCAAGTCGCTCGCTCACAACTTTAATGCCAGTAGCCCACAAAGTAGAATTTTTGCTCACACAACTCCACAGCTTAGAGGGAACATTGCCTGTGAGGTAGGCAGGGCTGAGAGAGCTCTTGAGAGAACTGCCCTTGAGAGAACAGCTCTGAGAGACCTTGAGACTGACCCAAGGTCACACCAGCAGCTGCACGTGGAGGGGTGGGGAATCAAACCCGGTTCCCTCCCCAATCAGAGTCTGCACACTTAACCACCACACCAAACTGGCCTGGCTGCCACCTGAAGCAGGTACCTGCTGGGACGTCACTGGTTCCCAAGACAATGCCGCTGGCCTGCACGATGTCCCCCATCAGCTGCAGTACCTGGAAAGAGAAGGCAGTGAGACGCAGTTTCTCCAACAGCGCCGTGAAAAACTATTTTGGCAAACGAAAGAACAGACACACCCCAACCCTCTTTGCCCGCCTGTGATTCTCAGTCCGGCAATTCAGAGCACTCTCTGGATAGGAACGTCTCTACCATTTCCCACGTTCCTTCCGGCTCTGGATTATTTATCCTGCATTGGCCAGCTACAGAAACACTTCTGGGGCTCCAGAAGGTGGAGTGGCTGTGTTGACGCTGCAGGTACTCAGAAAGGCTCCCTTGGAAACCTCCTCTGACCTTGTCTTAGAAAGCAGGTTCCTAGCCCTTAAGGTCTGCTGAGGGAGGCTTTCCCCTGACGGGACCATGGCTAGTGACATGGACTGCCTGACAAGGCCTCGAGATAGCAAGAGGAAGGTCGCAGGCCTAACTTGTATGGGAAATTATAGCTGTTTCTATACAAATGCTAGGAGTGTCTGAGGTAAAATCAGGGAGTTGGAGTGCTTGGTGTCGGAGGGAAAAATAGACATTGTGGGTATTTCAGAAACTTGGTGGGATGAGGAAAATCAGTGGGATACGGTGATTCCCGGTTATATATTATATCGGAAGGATAGGGGGGGAAGGGTTGGAGGTGGGGTGGCTCTGTATGTCAGAGAGGGTATAAAGTCCAGAAAGATTGAGAGGCTAAGAGAATTGGATTCGCTTCTTGAAGTTCTGTGGGTTGAAATAGGGGGGCCAAAAGGAAACTTAACACTGGGAGTTTGTTATCGCCCACCGGATCAAAAGATAGAGGAGGATTATAAAATGATGAATGAATTAAAGATAGCAGCTAGACAAAAACACTGTGTCGTAATAGGTGATTTTAACTACCCACACATTGATTGGGTCAATATGTGTTCTAGTCGAGAGAAAGAGATTGAGTTTCTAGACACTCTAAATGACTGTGCTATGGAGCAGATGGTCATGGAACCTACCAGGGGAGAGGCAATCCTTGATTTGGTCCTAAGTAACACTCAAGACCTGGTGAGAGATGTAAAAGTGATTGCACTGCTTGGGAACAGTGATCATAATGTTGTTGAGTTCAACATTTGTACAAATAGGGAATTGGCCAAAAAGACTCACACAACCACTTTTAACTTTAAAAGGGGTAATTTTTCTGATATGAGGGGACATGTGGGGAGGAAACTGAAGGGAAAAGTAGAAAGGGTCAAAACCATTGGGGAAGCTTGGAAACTGTTTAAAACTACAATTCTAGAAGCTCAAATAAAATATATTCCGCAGGTTAGGAAAGGCACAAACAGGTATAAGAAAAAGCCTACATGGTTAACAAACAAAGTAATGGAAGCTGTAAAAGGTAAAAAGGATTCCTTTAAGCGGTGGAAAGCTAGTCACAGTGAGGCTGATAAAACAGAACACAGGCTATGGCAAATAAAATGCAAGTCTGTGGTCAGGCAGGCAAAAAGGGAATATGAGGAGCATATAGCAAAAAATGTAAAAACCAACAATAAAACTTTCTTCAAATACATTAGAAGCAGGAAACAAGCCAGGGAGGCAGTGGGGCCCTTGGATGACCAAGGGGTAAAAGTAGTATTGAAGGATGATAGGGAAATGGCTGAGAAGCTGAATGCAGGGCTATTTTGGGGCAGGAACGGAGTTCCGGCTGGCTCCCAAGTTGGCCAAGCCAAGCAGGAACTCATTAGCATAATAGGCCACACCCAACAGAAGAAACTCATTAGGATTGGCTACATTAGGGGTGTGTGGCCTAACATGCAAAGGAGTTGCTGCTACAAAAAAAGCCCTGGGTTTTGACCACAAACAAGGTAAACAGAATAAGAAGCAAAAGGTGGGTTTGGCTGGATGATCACACTTCTGGTAACATGGGGGTCTGGCCTAATGTGCTAATGAGCTGTGCTATCAGGGGTGTGGCCTAATATCCTAATGAGCGTCTGCTGTTGGGTGTGGCCTATTATGCTAATGAGTTCCTGCTGGGCTTTTTCTACAAAAAGAGCCCTGGCTAAATGCATTTTTGCCTCTGTCTTCACTGTGGAAGATGAGATGTGCTTGCCCACTCCAGAACCGCTGATTTCGGGAGGGGTGTTGAAAGACCTGAGTCAGATTGAGGTAACGAGAGAGGAGGTCCTAAAACTGATAGACAACTTAAAAACTGATAAATCACCAGGCCTACCTGCTGGGGATCACGTTCGTATGTAAAGCTGAGGCAATGGAAAACGGTCTTGTATTCCTCCAAATCCTCCTTCAGGGGGAGAGAGCGGAGCAAGACGGGCAGAACCTGCAGAAGTTGGAAGGGTGAGATTCAAATTCAGTGGTACCTTACAGACCAACGAGGTTTTGGGGGTATAGTTGTCCAGAGTCGAAGCTCACTTCATCAGGAAAAGTTAGAGGAGGGCATACAGAAGATCACTTGACCTAGGTGGAACGAATGCCTGAACAGCTCTGAGCTGCCCGTTTGCAACCAAGGTGGGGTTTTCTGCTCCTTAAGACAGAATTGAAGCCGTGTAAGAAAGACCGGATTGAGCAAACTTCAGAGGACGGCGGAAGACAGGAGGGCCTGGGGTCGCGAAGAGTCGGACTCGACTGTGCGACTGAACAACAACAACAACAAGAAAGACCGGAAGGTCTGTAGCTCGGCGATTCGAGACCCGAGTGCCACGTGACGGAGTGAGCTCCCGTCTCCGGCCCCAGCTCCTGCCAACCGAGCAGTTCGAAAGCAAGAAATTGCACGTAGATAAATAGGGACCACTTCGGTGGGGAGGCAACAGTGTTCCATGCGCCTCGGCGTTTAGTCATGCCGGCCACATGACCAAGGAAACGCCTTCAGACAGCGCTGGTTCTTCGGCTTGGAAATGGAGATGAGCACTGCATCCCTAGAGTCAGATTTGACTGGCTTTCGAGGAAGGGAAACCTTTACCTTAAGCAAAACATGCCTCCCCACCCCCCTCAGACCCCGCACCCACATGATCTAAGCAGCTGGTTTAGCAGGTATTTGCCGGATGGCGATTGCCTTTTACCCTGAGAGAGGGGAGGACTTAGGGTGACTAGATGTCCACTTCTTACAGGAGCCAGTGTTACCTCTAAGCTGAGTTAGTGTGAGCTAGCTCAAAGTTTTTGAGCCTCCGGCTCACACATTTTTGTCTTAGCTCAGGAGGAATGGCTCCAGAGCAAACCAGTTTATGCAGCAGCCAAAACACGTGCTCACAACTTTCATGCCAGGAGCTCACCAAGTAGAATTTTTGCTTACAAGACTCCATAGCTTAGAGGGAACATTGTACAGGAAATGTTCTCTCTTTTTTTTGGCGTCTATCCTCTTTTGGAGTCTTTTGAAAAAAACCTGATGAAAAATGCCGGCCAGTGAGAGGTGATGTAGGGACGCTGTTTGGAATGCGAGTTCGAGTTCGTCTCCCTTCATTAATAAAGAAACCAAAAGGAAACTCAAGTCTGACTGCTACCTTTGGTGGTTGGTGTTTTCTTCCCCGGAGAGGCTGGGGGGAGAGTGTGATCCAGACCTTTTGTTTGTCACAAAATCCACGGCCTCCCCAATGGAGAGTGGGTAGTCAGACAGGGCCTGAACAGCTTCCAGCTACAGGAGAGAGCCCACGATCCACATGGCGGAGGGAGGCCGGGTAGCTTCCTCCAGAGTCGTTCACCGCCCTTGGGGAGTGGGGGTGGGCTGCACCCTTTATCCCAAGTCTCCCCCCCCCCACACAAAATACCCCACTCACCTGCCCGACAGGGACCCCTCTGGGATTGGCCATCACCATCCGCGCGACGGCTCCACAGACGTTGTCGGCCGCCCGGCTGCTCTGCTCCTGACTGAGGAGGCTGGACAGGAGGCCCAGAAGCCGGGGGTAATGTCTGCGCCGGACGGAGGGGAAGTTAAGGGGGAAAACCGAGAGGGCGGCGGGGCGAGGGGGCAGACTTCCATGCCCCCTGGCTTAGGTCTCGAGGGTGAAGTCCACAAAACAAAACCCCAGGGAGAGGGCTGTAACCGAGAGCGGCCACGGACTCCAGGTCTCCGTGGGCTTGCAAACATTTGAACTGCTGCTTCTTGCAAGTGCAGAGGAGGGCAGGATGGCTACCTTGGGGGGTTCACGGGTATTTTTTGGCCACTGCGTGACACAGAGTGTTGGACTGGATGGGCCACTGGCCTGATCCAACATTGGCTTCTCTTGTGTTCTTATCAGGTGGAGCAAGCTGCAGTCTTCACCACACAGCCCCCAATCCCAGAGCAGGAGGAAGGATCATCTTGCTCTGGGTCCCTGCAGCCAGGCTTCTGTTCAGGCTGGCTCCCTGAGGAAGGCCCTGGGTGCGGATCTCACGTCCCAGGTCGGACTGTGTGGGTGGAGACTGTGCTTGGGGCACCCTGGACTCCGGCTGTTTCGGGCTCTGAAGATCCAAACCAGCCCCTTGTGTCTCGCGTACGTAGGAGTGAGATCTGGCCTGCATGCCCTTCCCCACCCTGCTCATTGTCGTTACCGCGTTAACGAGAAGGCATTGCTATGGGCAGAGACGAACGTTGGAAGCCCTCACTCGAAACATGGGGCGGAAGCCCAACCCCAACCGCCTTCCCAAAGCTATGCTGCCGTGGTGCAGCGGCTAGCGTGTCAGACTAGGACAGGATCTGGGGGACCCAGGTTCGAATCCTCACTCTGCCAGGGAAGCCTGCCGGGTGACCTTGGGACAGCCACACCCTCTCAGCCCAACCTACCTCACAGGGTTGTTGTGAGGATAAAAGGGAGAAGAATGCCAGCCACGTTGAGGGAGAAAAGCAGAGGATAAAGTAAATAAAGAAATAAAATAAGCACCAGCTTTGATTGTCCTCACAGGGCCCCCCCACACCCACCTAGAAAAAGATGGCCTCTGTGATTGTTATCGGCCGCTCCCCAAATAATCCCTCCATCCTGAGGGTGACACGTATAAACTCTACGGGGGCCTCGGGGAGAAGTCCCCCCCCTCCCGCTCGGTCTCAGCTCCCCACCCGGCCGCCTCGGTGAGAAGGATACTCGTGCGTGACTTCTCCGCCGTGTTCCGCCAGCACGCCCAGCCCGAAGATGGCGTTGCTGCGCACCTCCATGTCTCTGTCGCGGGTGGCCTTCACCAGCAACGGCAGCAAGCGGGCCACGAAGGGGCTGGAGGACCGGCCCAGGCCCTGGATGGACTCCGCGATGATGCCCACCGCAAAGGACTTCTCTGCCACACTACAGGTGGGCTTCTGCAGAGGAGAGGGTGGGGGGGGGGAGACCCACAGAGCTCAGAGCCACGTCACTTCTCTTGGCAGTGGGGGAGGCCGAAAGCCCAGGAGGGAACCATCGGAGCTCTCGGAGGGAAGGAGGCAAAGTTACCATCACCCGCCTAGCCATGCGGTGTAGTGGTTAGAGTCAGGCTGCCACCTGTTTGGTGTAGAGATGTAAAATTTCCAGAAATTTTGAAGCTCGGGAAAAAACCCCATTTTTTTCCCGTTTTTTCCGGGGGGGAAATGGAAATTTTTGGAAAAATTGAAAAAAATGCTACATTAGCATTACTTTTGTCTTTTCCAGATTGAGAGTCATTCTGTTACTTTAGGAACATAAAATATGACTATGGACATTTTTACTTGGCATGAAATTCTCACAACTAGCCTATTAAAAATATAGTATATCCAAACAATTATGACAAACAGAATACCCACCCACATGCAAAAACAAAACTGAAACCTTTTTCTTTTCTTCTGACAATCGCACCTCCTAAAGGAAGAAATGCATCTTGTTCTTGCATTGGAGAGTTCAGTTTGTAACCTAGGACTTGCTTGTCCTCAGTGCACAGAAATTAGATCAATCTGATACCATACATATATATATATTTTAGAAATGATTTGGAAAATATTTGAACACCTTGTCTTAAAATATTTTATTCATCATGTTAAAATAAAACGTTCCATAATCAATATTTTTTCTTTTTTCAATTTTTCCAATTTTTCGGAAAAAAACAAAAAAACTTCAGGAAAAAAACGGAAAAACCCATTTCCCCCCCGGATTTTTCCGGTTTTTTCCGGGCTTTCACATCTCTAGTTTGGTGTAATGGTTAGGAGTGCGGACTCTAATCTGGGAGAACCAGGCTGGATTCCCCACTCCTCCACATGCAGCTGCTGGGGTGACCTTGGGTCAGTCACAACAACAACAAATTTATCCACAGCAAAAGCCAGCACTCTAATACAGTAGTCAAGCTAAACTATGCCCTGAAGAACTTTGTGGAGAACCTGGGTGAGGCCTGCCGTCAATCTAGCCAGCCCCTTCCAGTTAGGTGTAGTGGTTAGGTGCGCGGACTGTAATCTGGGGAACCGGGTTCGAGTCCCCACCCCTCCTTGGGTCAGTCACAAGTTCTCTCAGAGCTGTTCTCTCAGGGGCAGTTCTCGGGAGAGCTCTCTCAGCCCCACCTGCCTCACAGGGTGTCTGTTGTGGGGAGGGGAAGGGGAAGGAGTTTGTAAGCCACTCTGAGACTCCTTCGGGTAGTGAAGGGCAGGGTATCAATCCAATCTCTTCTTCTTCCGTGGGCACCAACCGACACCTTCCCTGGCACTTGCCAAATGCTTTGAAAGTGGGTGGAGCCAGGTGGAGCTTCTGCCCAGCAAGGCTTCTCATTGGCCACTGGAGACCTGACGGGCCATGCAGGGCAGCCATTTTGTAGCTGGCTCCACCTCCTGCAGCGGCCATTTCACAGCAGCCGTTTTGTGGCTGCGCCCCAAACACCGTGACGGAATTCCAAAGGTGCCCACAGGCTCAAAAATTTTGGGGGACTTCGGGTATTGATAACTGGGAGTGGAGATGCCCAAGTTCAGAAATTCAAATCAAATTGTCTCTTAGCTGCTTTTTCAGAAAACAACCCCACTTACATCCAGCCTCATGACAGGGGGAAATCATCAGCCCTGTCCAGTTTCTTGTCCAACCTGTTGTGAACTGAGGTAAACTCATCAATGAATTAGGATTTTTCCTATTTTACCTCAGTTGTGAACTGAGGTAAACCCATCGATGAATTAGGAGCACATCTCCCCCCCCCCCCAACCCACCAATGTATGACACCTGAGCAACTGGGAGAAAAGCATAGGATGTAAAAGTCAAGGGAAGGAATATTTAGGATCCACAACGCTTGAACACTTGGCTGAAGAAGCAGGGGTCCAGGGAAGAGGAAGAGTTGGATTTATACCCCGTCCTTCACTCAGAGCGGCTTACAATCTCCTTTCCCTTCCCCTCCCCACAACAGACGCCCTGTGAGGTAGGGCTGAGCGAGCTCTCTCCAGAACTGCCCTTGAGAGAACAGCGCTGAGGGAACTTGTGACTGACCCAAGGTCACCCAGCTGGCTGCAGGTGGAGGAGTGGGGAATCCAACCCCGTTCTCCGTATTAGAGTCCGCTGCTCTTAACCGCTACACCAAACTGGCTGGGGGGGGGCTTCACCCGTGAGGCAGGAGACGACAGAGAAGGGAAGGTGCAGGAAGACACCCCAGTGACGGACGGGAACGGGCAGGGAAGAGGAGCGGACTCTCACCATCTTGTTGAGGAGTAAAGGCAGGAAGCCGGCGAAATAGGGAGCGAAGGTCTCTCCGCTGACTGCTCTGGCGAGGGCAGGAATCACTTCCCCGGCATACTCAATCAGCATCGAGTCATATTCGGACTGTTTGGGGGGGAGCGCCGGTGGCCAAAGTGGAGAGAAGAGAGCAGGGTGAGGAAAGAAGCAGACTCCCCCACCCCCCCTTCACGCTGAAACGCCTCCTCCTTTGACGGAGGGTCCTTCTTCCTTCAAAAACTACCCACCCTCCGTCCCTCTGCAGTCTAACGCGGCTCATCTTCCTCCAGAACGTCCCCTGCGTTCCCAGTGATGCCTGCTCCAAAGTGTGTGCACAGGACTGCAACCAGGGTTTTTTTGTAGAAAAAGCCCAGCAGGAACTCATTAGCATAATAGGCCACACCAACAGCAGGAACTCATTAGCATATTAGGCCACACCCCTGACAGCACAGCTCATTGGCATATTAGGCCACACCCCCACTTTACCAGAAGTGTGGTCATCCAGCCAAACCCACCTTTTGCTTGTTATTCTGTTTTCCTTGTTTGTTGTCAACACCCAGGGCCTTTTTTTGTAGCAGGAACTCCTTTGCATGTTAGGCCACACACCCCTAATGTAGCCAATCCTAATGAGTTCCTGCTATTGGGTGTGGCCTGCTATGCTAATGAGTTCCTGCTAGGCGTGGCCAACATGGGAGCCAGCCGGAACTCCGTTCCTGTGCGTTCCTGCCCAAAAATAACCCTGACTGCAACCCTAAGATGTCTCCCCCACACAGAGCTTCTTGAGGGAAGCTGCTGGGTAAGGAGCAAGGAATGCTGGGAGTCAGGTCATGTTATTCCCTTCCGCAAAAGGCAAGTGGGGATGAAAGCGGAGCAGCTGGGGGGGGGAGGCGCCCCCTTTGAGCAACAGGCCCACCTCCATTCGGTTCCCCCTTTATAGGATTTGCAGAATCAGAGAATGAGATCCACGACTTGAATCGTTTGGTGGTGGAAAGGGGTGGCGACTCGCGGCTGACTTACAGCAAACCCCCAGAGGGTTTTCAAGGCCGGAGAGAGGAGTGGAGCCTGCCTCCGCCTAGCCATCCTGGACTTCCCTGGTGGCCTCCTATCCAAGCGCTAACCAGGGCTGATTCTGGCTAGCTTCCGCGATCGGGCTGGCCTGGGCTATTCAAACTTAAAAAGGCAAAGGTTCCCCTTGCTTGAAAGCCAGTCGAATCCGACTCTAGGGTTGCGGTGCTCATCTCCGTTTCCAAGCCGAAGAGCCAGCGCTGCCCGAAGACGTTTCCGTGGTCATGTGGCCGGCATGACTAAACACTAAGGTGCACGGAACGTTGTTACCTTCCCACCGAAGTGGTACCTATTTATCTACTTGCAATGTCTTGCTTTCGAACGGCTAGGTTGGCAGGAGCTGCAACGGGAGACGGGAGCTCACTCTGTCATGCGGCAACCCGAACTGCTGAACAACCAACCTTCCACAGCCTACAGTTCAGTGTCTTAACCACTTGAGCCACCGCAGCTCCCATTCAAGCTTAGGGCCATCTATATAAACTAGTCGGTGAGTACGGTCAGTCCCGGTTAGTCCTCGGATGGGAGACCACCAAGGAAAAGCAGGGTTGCTACGCAGAGGCAGGCCACGGCAAGCCCACCTCTGTTCGTCTCCGGCCTTGGAAACCCTACGGGGGTCAACTTCAGTCGGCTGCAACTCGGCAACATCGCCCATGTATCCTAACGGAAAAACAGACGCTTTCATTGTATGCCTGTGTGTAAATTTATTGTAAAATGTGACATTACAGTGTCCCGTTGACAAAAGCCTCGTCGCGGCAACTCCCCTTCCATCTTATAAAGTGGCAAAATGTCTTGGTAAAACAGACCCAGTAACTTTTTTGAGGGCCGTCTCTTGTAAACATGTTGCCGTTTCAAATTCAAAAATCAATGTGGTATGTTTATGGTAACAGAGGTGTGATAGGCGTTAACTTCCACAGCAAAAGCTTTTCTTTAAAAAAAAGAAAGAAAATGGCCCGCATTTAATTTTAAAATGCTCCCCCCCCACACTAACAAAAGACACAAAACCAGATTCAAGAATCTCCCCAACCCAGTTGGCCTTTTCCATTCCCAAAAAGGTACAGTTGCCAAAACCAAACACCAGATGGCGAGAGAGAGCACAGAGCCCCCACACTCACGTCGTCTTCCTCCTCATCATCCTCATCGTCACAGCTGTCTTGACAGGCTATCTGGAAAGGGATTTTCAAAAAAGGGAGTCAGGACTAGGGATGTGCATTTCGGGATCCCGAACCGAAAAAAAGCCGAAAATAACGTTTTTCGGCTTTTTTCGGCTTTTGCAATCCCGAAATGGCTTCCTATGCATTTTCCCGAATCCCGAAAAAAAATCCCGAAAAAATTCGGGTCCATTATAACCAATGGGGCCATTGAAGTCAATGGCAAAAAACCTCTTGAAACTTTGCGGGGGGCTGGGGGGGAGGGGGTAGAGCCTCCAAATTTGGACCGTGGCTGCTCAAGCCTCTCCCCGAAAGACCCCCAAAGTTTCGAGAAGATTGGTCCAGGGGGTCCGATTCCAGGGGCATCCAAAGAGGGTGCCCCCAGTCCCCCCAGATCAGCTTGCTGTATTCCCGGTTTGCCGCCGAAATTCGGCGGCAATGCATTTCAATGGGATTTTAACCTTCTGCTTTCCTTTTTGCAGACCCCTAGGGGGGGGCCCAAATTTGGGGGCAATGCATTTCAATGGGATTTTAACCTTCTGCTTTCCTTTTTGCAGACCCATGGGGGGGGTTAGAGGGAGAGGCTCCAAACTTA